AAGCAGGTCAAGGCTTTTAAGAAGCACTGTAAAAAAAATACAGAATGTAGTAGCACAAAGGAACTGTGCAAGGGAAAATAATAAACGTGCCCAAATGTAGGGCCGTTGGTCATGAAACTGAAGAGCTGAATTATTTAACAGATAAAAAGTAATAAAAGTTTTGCCTAATTGCTAAAAAAAATCTTAATTAGAAAAATATTACAGACACTAATTCTTGAGCTTCAGACACGTATTTTATGCTACAAAAAGCACAGAGGAGTTTTTGTTATGTTCTCTTAGCAGCATGTACCACGAGAGGTACATTGGGGAACATCTCCCGGCTTCTATCGTGACTGCATAAATACGACTACCCAACGTTTCCTAGTTGTACGATAGCTACACAATAAATATTGGATTGACGAAACAGAACATCAAAAAGATGGCAAAAAAATTCTGCAGTTTTGCAGTTCAACGAGAGTAAAATGCAAAATTGTACCACATTAACAAAAGAGACGACTTGCTAAAAAGTGGTCTGGAAATAGCAAGCTCAGAGAAAAGTCTCTTAGCTGCGATCTCGAGGGCAACCTTGCCATTTACAAAAACTAAAAAACTGTTTTTCGGCAAGCAAAAAGAGATGTTGCACTCTCTCCTCGCAGTCTTCTGAATCAGCAGCTCAGCTCCTCCACAGCAGGGGAGCAAGAACCAGCGCTAATTACCGGCTGGAGGAATAAATAACGCAGAGGAAGTGATGTGCCGCCAGCAGATGAAGGCAACGTGCGGTGTCCCAGCTCACACAGGCATTTATTTCATCCGCTTTAAAATCTTCTGTCCTGAGACAACGCTCACTGCTATTGTTTTTCCCCAACACTGTCACGACAGCAACAAAAATAGGAATAAAACGGTATAGCAGTCACATTCTGCAGTTTGTGGTACCGCTGACAGGACTGCCAGCCTAAATGGGAGAAAACCGTCAGTATCCCAGTTTAGAAAGTTCTTCCCCACCAGGATACGTTTTTTGCTTTGCGTGGCAGTAAAAAGCCAAGCTGTATCTTTCAACACCTGTTCTGCCAATACAATTTGATATTGCTGCGACAGAGACAAAACCTCTGCAGTCAGTTACCAGCCCCTTCATTTAAAAGAATCTTTACACGCAGTTTAAGCAACTCTTAACAGCTACAAATACTTAGCTCCAAGTGCTAACTTATTCCTACACCAGAAGGAGCAGGGAGATGCATATAAATATTAACACAATCACCTCAGCAGATTTCAAGATGTAATTCTGTCGATAAGAATTAAACCCATAAAGTCACACTTGCATAGCTAGCTCCCTATGGATGTTGTTTAATACATTTCAGAGTTTTATAAATTACTATTTCCCTGCTTCAGGTTAACATGAACTAATTTACATTACTCAATAGGATATTCTAGGAACTCTTCAGCATGAGTTTCAAGATTTCCTCCCAAATAAACCCGGCAGCTTGCAAGACTCCTTCTGCCCACTGCCTGCAGTCACTGCACGCCAAGAAAATCCCAGGCATAAATCAAACAATCATTTACAACTGGCCCACCTTCAAGACAGAAGCAGGTGAGAATGTAATGACTTAGGCATTGCTGCATAGAGTTTAAATTCCTCATCCTGCAACTGCTCTGCAGTCTCACATGGCTCTGTAAAACTCGCCCATCAGACAGAGGTGCTATCTGATCGGGACATTCAACGAGTGGCTTGCTGGTAACACCAGGAGCATAAGACCAATTAAAAGCATGTAGCAACTTATGCTGGTTTCTTCAAGGAAAATGTTTGGATTGTTCTCTTGTATACCAGCGGAGCACATCTACGTTACGAGTGTGCACTGGCATACGCACGTGTAAGAAAAATAAAAAAGCCAGCAGAAGCTTCGATCTACAAATCTGACAGCCAATATGAAAAAGCTCTGATGTGAAGCTTAACACGAACGGTTAAAGAAACATTTCAGGTAGAACTAATTAGTGATTTCTCATGCCTGAATCTGCCTGCACGAGTTTAAAAGCCCGAGAGAGTCAAACTTCTCTGACATTTTCATTTGAATGATTAATAATCAAATAAAAAAAATAACCCCCAAAGTTAAGCTAGCCTCTTCTCCTCCTGTAGGGAAGCTGCTTAATAAGTGAACAATGCGAACAGTCATCCCAATCATGCATCCACACGAGTAACGCCTACCTAAATGGCTGGGGCAACCCAGCACTTCAGAGCACTTCTGGCCACATCCTGCAGATGAAAGCCCGGCGTTGGACACAGCAGCTCCCTCGCCCTCACGTGCTCGGCTCTCAGGGCACAGATGCAATTTTAACCCAGGTGCCCAGGCTCCTTACACCATACAGAAGCAGGATGGATATTTCAGCATGAAATGGCTGAGGAAATGGGTAGCACGCCAAGCCCAGCATTATCTCAAGTCAGTGCAATCAGCACGGGGCCATTAAGAAAGCTGTCCACAGGAAGGACTCCTAAATTCTACTCCCAGACTGCCTAACCCAGAAACGCAGAAAGCTTTTTGTTTCTGAGGATTCCCAGCCCAGAAACCTTCGGGGTGGGTGAGCCTATACTACCTGTACCTAGCAGCGCTGTTACTTGTTGTCAGTTTAATAACACAGCTGCTGATGGTGCCCTTTTTATAAGGCAGGATGGTAGCCCTGAAGGGAAAATACCACAGCTTAGTTCCTTCACTGGTGGGGCAATCTGTATCCATATCTCCATCTCCTAGGACACTACACAAGCTGCAAGTCACGAGTGCTCTCTTCCAGACAGCGTCTGTTCACCCCTCCTATTTCACCCGGTTTAAAAAAAGGCACTCGATTTAAAAACAAACAAACAAAACCATAACGAAGCGGGGCTCTAAAGTTTAGTCATCAGGCATACGGGCAGAAAAGGGCAGGAAATGAGAGGCTTTGGATGCTTGCTGTAAGCAACATCTAACATTAAACGAGCACAAAGTTCTGAAACCAAAGGCCAGAACCTGCACGTCTCCTTTCTTGGAGGGCAACATTTTCTTATCCATCCTCTTTCTGGCTCAGTGAATCATGCGTTCTTTTTCTGGATAGTAACACGGCCTCAACCAGGAGAACTGAAGATAACACACAGCTTGACGACTGGGATACTTGCCTGGGACGTGGAAGATGTAGGTTGATCGCTCCAGGCAAAACAGGAAGCTGAAGTAGGGTCTACCACATTCTGAACAAACGCTTTAACTCATAGTTTTTAAAAAGCAGCAGCACCTCCTCTTGCAAGAGCCTCCTAAAGCTGTTGCTGTATTTTGGAGGAGACTGACTCTGCAGCTCACATCGGGTACGATCAGAGAATTCCCACCCGACCAAAACCCCAGGACCTACAGTTAAATAATATTCAGCAAGCTGACAATCATGAGCTAGGCATCCTGCTGATCATCCCTCCTGCAGTTAGGGGGAAAAAAAAAAAAAAAAAAAAGTAAATTAGATATCCCAGGAACTTCAAAGCTGTTAACTACACTGTCTAGTGCCCAGGCACCTTCAGAGCTTAGCGATAAGAGACGGAGGGTTTGGTGGGCTGTAATTCTGATCACAAGCACACAAAACATCTATTTCAGTACTTCTACAAACTGACTTATTGACAAAAGTTGTAGGGGGAAGGATGAGAAAAACAGCCGGTAGGGATCAGAATCAGAGGTATAACCTCATGTTAAAATCGCCTCCATCGCTTTCGTGTCTCCCCAACTGCGTCACAGAGAGACAATTCACATTAAAGCACAGAGCCTTCTGCAGAGCGGGCATCACATTGAAAACAAACTGAAATCAATTGACAAATGCTCTAAGCAAGCTATTTACCCAAAGTTCATCCTGTTATGTTACGGGCATTTGCACGGTTCATATGGCTACAAAGTTATCAGCTATAATAAATAATATTAATAAATATAATATTATAATAAATAACATAATAAACGCACACGTATAGCGTCTATCAGTTTGCCTATTTATCAAATCATTACAATTTTTTCCCCGATAAGTTGCTGTTAATTTGATCTGCGTTGGATGTGCAGCATCCGTTCTCTGTGCAGAATCCCCAGATATCCCCAAGCACCTCTTTGCTCTGGCACACTGCTTCAATAAACCTACTGGAAAACACCCAGAGATAACAGGCAATAGCAAAGTTGGAAAACCATCTCCGCTGATTATTAATTCACCTGTAAGGTTTATCAGTTACCTACGCAGCGTCGGCACACGCGAGATACGACACTTTCAACATTAACGTGTTGCTGAAGCCCGAGGTTTCAATGTTTGCTCTGTAAGCGTGGGGAATGTTTTATTGCCCTTCCAGGCCAGCTTTAGATGGACTAGACTGATTGTCAATATACGGTGTAAGGGACTTGGCACTTCTGCGAGTGATAAAAACCTAACTGAGCAGCTATCCACGCATAGTGCTAGGGGGTAAAAGGCTGGGTAAAGCGATAAGGGGGATAGTGAGGGGCCGAGGGGGTAACTAGGGGGGTAACTAGGCAGTTGCGGGGGGTTGCTGGGGGGGGTAACTAAGGGCAGTAACTAAGTGGTTGAGGGGGTAACTAGGGGGGTACGGGGGTGGCTGGAGCGTGATTAAGGGAATAAAGGGGGAAAGTAAGGCGCTGAAGGGGTAACTAAGGGGGTAAGGAGGTGGCTAGGGGGTGATTAAGGGGATATGTAAGGGGCCGAGGGGATAACTGAGGGGGTAACTAGGCAGTCGAGGGAGTAACTAAGGGGATAAGGAGGTGGGTAGGGGGTGATTAAGGGAATAAAGAGGAAGTTGAGGGGGTCAGGAAGGGGCTGAAGGCGTAACTAAGGGGGGTTAGTAAAGGGTTGGGGGGGTAACTGGGGGGGTAACTGGACAGTTGAGGGGGTAATTAAGGGGATAAGGAGGTGGGTACAGGGCAATTAAAGGGATAAAGGGGCGGGTGAGGGGGTCAGGAAGGGGCTGAGCGATAAGTACACGGGCAACCGAGGCGCTGTGGGGCAGGGCCCGCTGCGTGGGGGCCGCTCCTCACCTGCCTAAACCGGGGGTAGGGGGCCCTCGCGGCGCCCCAACGGTGGCGCCGCCTCTTCATCTTGCTGCCAGCCGCAGCAACTTCTCCTCCTCCTCCTCCTCCTCCTCCTCCTCCTCCTCCTCCAAGCGCTCCGGCTCCGGCTCCGGCTCCGGCTCCGGCTCCGGCTCCCGCTCCGGCGCGGCCGCACCGCCACCGCCGCCGCCTCCGCCGCACCCGCCGCCGGCCGAGCCCTCCGCGGCCGTTCCGCCGCCGGCCGTTGGGCCGCCCGAGGCCATGCCGCCGCGCCCCTCGCTCTGTGCCGTCACACGCCCCCCGCCCGGTCCCGGTCCCGGTCCCGTCCCGTCCCTCGCCCTCCCCGCTCCGCCGCTCGCCTCACGCGGCCAATTGGGGCAGGCGATGGCGGCTCCCGTCAGCGCGGTGCGCGCCGCGCCTCACCCGCCCGCGACGGCCCCGGCCCCGGCCCCGGCCCCGGCCCCGGCCTCGCGAGAGGGGAGGGAGGGGAGGGAGGGGAGGAGGAGGCGGGGCCGCGCGGGAAAGCGCGAAGTGAGGGGACGGGGACGGGGACGGGGACGGGGACGGGGACGGGGAGGGGAGCGGGGCTGCCTCACCTCAGGGATGGCGGCCTCGGGGAGCGGCCGCCATAAGAAAAGCCGGCCCGGACAGCACGAGAACGGGGCTAAAAGACGGCCGCGGAGCCTCCCCGCCCCGTGGTGCCGAAGGCTGGGGTGCAGCAGCACCGCGCCGGGGGTGGGACAGCGCCACAACCCCACAGTGCTCGTCAAAAAAGCCCCCCACCGATAACCAGTAACCCCCCACACCGATAACCCGCAACCACACCAGTAACAAAAAAAGACCCACACCAGTAGCCCCCACACTGTTAACCCAAGCACACGCAGTGTTTGAGGCTGGGTTCGTGGCCGCCTTGGTCCAGGAAGCGATCGCCACGCTGAATTCTACCATGTGGCACGGGAAACATAGGCACTGTGACGGATTTTCACCACAGAAAATAAACGAAAGTGGTAACGGGGTACACATTGTGCCCTTAATAACACGCATCGGGCAGTGAAATCACTGATTTCCACACCAACGTGCTCAGGGAATCACTCTCAGCCCCCTCCTGCATTGGACATGGAACAGCTGGGCCAACAAAAAACACTTCCCTCCCTCACCTACACCAAACCTATTAAGGCAACCCTATTAAGATAACGTGATTTTTCTCCTCCAGATCAGTGTCAAAGGCAGCTACGCTATGTTTGCTCATAAGTTCAAATGCTGCTTTATTTATTTATTTTAATTCCATTTTTCTTATTTAGAAGGATTTCCATAGGGTGACGGGCCTTTAATGACACTCATGACTCAGAAATATTTGCCGATGCAGTCAAACGGTGTCTATTAACGTGAGTCACTCAAGTTAATTGATTAATTGAAGTTAATTGGACCCTCATTACAAGTCACATGTTAGGGACCAGCCTCTCAAAGGCCAAAAAACAGCACTGATACTTCACATTGTTTCTGCTGGGCCAACACATCTGTAGCACTACCTTTTCAGTTGACAACACAACGAGTGTTTCCACAAAGTACTCGATGCAACCTAACTACTGTGTTTGGTGATGCAAAGCAAGCCATGTCAAAGCAGGCACACACCTGGAAGCTGCCTTGCTGCTCACATTGAAGAAAATAGATTTAAAAAAAATCGCACTACAATTGAAGTGGCATCAAACCTTGTAAGGCTCTGAAGCTTCAGCACTGCCATCCAAATTCAAGGAGGCTGCATCTATTACCTTGAATCTGCCCCAGCTCAATCCCCTGAAACAATTCCAAATACACATACAAGCAACCCTTTTCCCACCCAGATTTTCTTTGCTTCATCTATTCCACCTCTAACTCCTGTCTTATTAATCTGCCCCTCTAAAGACTCACTGGCTCACACAAGGAAGCAACCCACCAAGCCCCTGATTCCCCGCCACATTGCTTCCATGCTTTGGGAAGATCTAACTGCAACGGCTCAAACTGTGATGCCACCTCACCCACCTCACCCCCTCCGCCTACGTGAGGTTCCTTGCCTTCTGTCTCTTCCTACATGTACACCGGCACTAGAACCACGAAGAACATGTTTCCTGTAACACTCCAAAAGCCTTTTCTGTTTCAGGATGTCGTCATTTCCATTCAGGACTGAAAACACTCCTAGCAAAAACCCAACAGCTAATAGCAAACAGAAGCTGTTTCTGCTGATCAGCTAGAAGTAACCTCTAAGTACTGAGGAGTCACAAAGGAGAATTTGTATTACATTCAAGAACAGCACCCAGCTTACGACTGCTACTTTCCCTAACTACACTAAGCCATAAGAATTTGATTCTTACCTGCCATCACAGTAATTATGGTTTATATTGCCCCCAAAACACACAGGGCAGTACCAAAGCTGTGTCGGCTAGGTTTAACAGCTTCCACAGCTATTAAGTACAGTAATTTCTGCTTCCTTTTTTTCTTGGAAGAATATTCTTTTGTTTCCAGCCTCAGTTAATTATTATATACACTGTTAATTAGCAACTATTTCTCAATACTCATAGGGTTATGGAGTCCCTATGACTGGAAAATACTCTACACCCTTCGAGATGAGAACAGCATATAAAGGCAGCAACTTGCAAGACCGCTCTAGCTTCAAGCAAAGCTTTCCTCATTGCTCTCGTCTCCTTTGACTTGAATACTGTCATCCTTCTACCAAAGCTTTATAAACTTCATTACCATGAATGAAGGAAGACCAGAGAAATTAGAGAGTAGCAGAGGATATAACTTAAGGAGCTGTTACTAGGATTATTTTTTTTTATTGTTCCTGGTGTTATTTTTCCTTCTTTAAGCCAGCAAACTGTTTTCTCCAAGATTTTTTTTGTTAGCTTAAGAATATGTATTATATTGCAGCAACTTCTTTGCTGTAAGTCAGCTGAGAAGTCTACCAGTAAGAAGGTCAAGGGAAAGCTGAATGCTGATGCAGAGTGCCAACAGACTTCATCCTCGTTCCATGAGATGTTTGTAGCTATGGCAGTTCAAGTCTACTGCTTCCATATGCTTAAAATACCAGATTTAGAAGCCAATTTCAGCTGACCTAGCAGATATCAGCAGTACAGTTAGAGCCAGCAGCCTGCAGGAAGGAGCAGACAGCTGTTTCCACAGCAAGGCCTGTAAGTGTCTCCCATACACACTTCCAATCTAAGCAAGCACATGAAGGGCTTGGCTTGTCACTTACCTAAGTGACCAGGAAAACAAGTGAAAACGAGATTTTGCTTGTGTCCTAACACCCATATAAAAATAAAGGCAGATGAAATACCCTTACTACCTTGTTAAGTTTCACAAGCCAGAAGAGAACGTGCTGCACACAGGTACAAGTAAATCCCTTGCTGGCAGGTTTGCAGAAACAAATTTTTATTTACACAGGCAAGTCTATCTTTAGACCCCATTTAACTCTTTACATTTCTAGAATATTTACATGATTTCATGATGCTCCAAGAAGAGAGTGATGAACAAAAAGATTACAGAAACTGTCAAAAGCATAGCAAAAAAACCCCAACCTATCATTGTGCTTTAAAACTTATGAGCTAGAATAACGTAGAAGAAATGTAGTTTTAGCACCTTGTTCATAACGGTCATGCTATATAAGACACTTAAATAGCAGAGGGGATTTCAGAAGTGACCGTATCCAGAGGTTGCCAGTGACAATTCATGAGTGAATCGTAGAGTTCTTCGCTTGTCTCCATAAACTGTCTGTTCATTTCATCAACATCCAAGTAGAGCTGTGGATCTGAAAATAAAAGCCTGGTAAGTACAAATATCGGATCTGAGGCATGCACACAAAAAACACTCATGTGAAATGGCTGATAAGATGTATTTTAAGCTATATGTAATAAGCTATTAGATCTACTTATTTTAGTGAGATATTTAGTCCTCTAAAATGTTAAACCTCACAACTCCAACTTTTGGGAATCCTACGGGCTAGGACTGCATTATCTTCATCTTGAAAGACGAATAAAGATGACGTTTAAGGATAATCGGCCATGAGACCTTCCCAAGAGCCATTTAATTCACTTCTACTCTAATAGATGTTACACAAGATAGTTTCTCAACGCTGACACAAAATGCCTCCACGTGAAAAACTCTGCAAACCTTCCAGGACACAATTACGTTTTGTACCAAATTTGTAAGAGCAAGCCGAATCCTCCTTTTGGAATCTGCAACATAAGCTTTTACCTCGGGGTGGAGAACAAAGCTTTTGCGTATTATTGAGTTTCTAATATAGAATCTGCTTAGTGGAATCAATATGAAGAACAAAAATTCTGTGTTAGACCATTTTCAAAGGGGAAGGAAGGCACAGTTACACGAAACTAGCTGCGAAGCACTGACAGCGTCCCATTTTCCTTGATGCACTCAGTGTATGCCGTATCAGCTTTAAAACCCCAACTGATTGCATGCAGATCAACCCCACAGAGGTTTGACCTTTGCATCAGCTGAATTTTCAAGATGTTCTTCATCCAGTAGAGGTTGGCTTGTACTGTTAAAAGGCACAAGTATGGCTACACTCAAGTCACAATGATAGAACCCTTGTTACCTTCAGTCATTAGGTCATCACTGATTTCAGTCATAACTGAAGATTCCTGAAAGACAGAAAAGGCTAAGTTTAATCATAACGCATTTCAGAAAGCATCAGATTCAAAGTGCTGCATTCTCAACCCATTCCTTCTTCCTACGACTACAGGGGTAGATGGCATTTCATATTTATTTTTAAAAGAAAGCCAATATTACAGTACAGGTCAGAAGGCACTTCTGGAGGTCACAACTGATAAACTGACCACGATCAGACCACTTACAGCAACTGTTTAATTTGCATTAAGCAAAGCAAATCAGAAGAACAGGAACAGAATTGTATACAGTTATGCCGTCAAAACCATTATTTGGTATACATGAACAAAAAATGGTGTATAAATCACTAATTCTATGGATTTAATATTTAAGCACTTAAATCCATACACCTCTGAATGGAACCTGCTGTTTTAACCTTCACACTAAGCAGAAAGCATGTTTTCAGCTTTGGATTTTTTTTTTTTTTTTTTTTTTTTTTTTTTTTTTTTTGCTGATTCACACAAATCTGCACCGCTTATTATCTGTGAAATAGCAACAAAAAAATACTTCATAGCAAGTGTGCAGTATCTTTACCTCAAAAAGAGCTGGAGCCATTACAGCATCTCCTAAAGAGCAGTCTCCAACAGCCTGCATGCTGTCATAGGGAGCATAGGAGCTGTAGTTGTACTCAGCATAAGCATCGTAACTCCACTGCGAGTAGTAGTTCTGATAATCTTGGTAATAATCATTATAGTTGTATGACTGGTACCGCTGGAATTCTGCTTTCAGTCTGAAACACGAGAAGTTGCATACAGTTAGAGAACAAACTCTAAACCCAGTTCTGAACTTAAACAATTTGT